ACAGCAGAGGTCTGGAAAAATTCAAAACCTCTAATGTGGCAACGAAAAGGGCCGGAGACGGGGGGGGGGGGGGGGGTGACCTCAAAAGTTGATGACTCAGGTGTCAAATTATATGTGAATTTTTCAAGTATAAATATATAGAATACTGATCTATGTTTTTTTATGATATAAGGCTATGATTGAGCAAAAAACTGAAGAAAAGTTCATTTTTCACATGAATAATGGTCTTAAGAGGCTATTATTAAAGGTAAAGATGCATATTACCTAAAAAACAAAACAAGTGTTGATGACTCAGGTGTCAAATTATTCATTTTCATTCAAAATAAATAAATATATATAGAATGCCGGTCTATGTTTTTTTAAATATAAAGCTATGATTAAGGAAAACACTGAAAAAAAGTTCATTTTTCACATGAATAATGGACAAATGAGGCTATTGTTAAAGGTAAAGATGCAAATTACCTTAAAAAAAAACATGAGTGTTGATGACTCAGGTGTCAAATTATATGCAAATTTTTAAAAAATCGTTTTGAATGCTGATCATGGCATTTTGGAATATAAAGCTATGACTGAGGAAAAAACTGAAAAAAGGTTCATTTGTCACATGAATAATGGACAAATGAGGCTATTGTTAAAGGTAGTGATGCAAATTACCTAAAAAAAAACATGAGACATGTTGATGACTCAGGCGTCAATTATATGTGAATTTTAAAAATATATACACAGAATGGTGATCGATGCTTATTGGAATATAAAGCTATAATTGAATAAAAAACTAAAAAAAGTTCATTTGTCACATGAATAATGGACAAATGAGTCCAGACACCCAGAAAAAACGACGACTCTCGTCACTCAAAACATATAAAGATGGATCATCTCACAACTTAAATAAGGAGCTGATGCTAAACTTTCCAGACCAGCTGATAATAAAGTGTAGATCGGGGTCTTCAACAGGTGGTCCGCGGTCCCTAGGGGGTCCTGGAGGTACTGCATGGGGGCCGCCAAAGTTTTGGTTGATTAGACTTTTTTAAATTTTTTATTTACCCCCCTGCAATTGTTTCCAATAATGTAAATGTCTTTAAATCCACATGACCATGAACTCAACAGACTGTAGTAAACGGATAAATGGAGGTAGAAGATGTCTCACATTCAGCCACACACAGGAGCTCCATCTATCTATCTATCTATCTATCTATCTATCTATCTATCTATCCATCACACAGGAGCTCTTTCAAGCTGGGCCCCGTTTCATTCACAACACCTGTCCCACCAACCAGGAACCAGAACCAGATGTTTACAGTAAAAAGAGGAAGATATCAACCTGTGGATTATCTGAGGATATTAGTCCTCAATGCCCAATAACAAGGTCCATTTACACACTATAGGACCAGTTTGATATTAGGCTTGTCCCAATCCGATATCTGGATCGTATCGGCCTCCGATATTTGCCAAAAACTGCGTATCGGCCAGAATGACAAAATGCCGATCCAGACTTCCCATCCATTTAAAAAAAAAAAGTTAGATCCCACCCGAGCATTAGCATCTGCTAACCCACAGGTCTGTGTCCTAACCATTAAGTTGTTATCAGAGTAAATCCCTGTTCAACATGAGTCTGACAACTAAGTAAGTAGAATAAAAACTTTAAACTTTAATACATGCTCTGATACGCCGGGATTGATATCGGAAGTGCAAATGAAATATTTGTATTGGATCGGAAGTTCAAAAAGCTGGATCGGGACATCCCTATACGATATAACACAATTTCAATATTCACGCAATGTCGCTTCATCAGTTTGGGGGCCCTTGGCCTGGAAAACCTTGAAGACCCCTGGTGTAGATTGGTAATTCTCTCTGATGGTTTACCAGTAATGAGCGTGCAGTTTTAGGTGGAAATCAGTCAGTTAAACAGGGGAACTGGCTATTAACTCATTGGCTGCCAAAGACGTCTATAGACGTCTTTTATG